ATCCAAAAGTCTTTCCAGGCAGATGTTGGACTGTTGCCCTGGTCCCCACCCTCAGGGCCCCTCTGCTCCCTCTTGCATGTGGCAGAGGGCTAGGTGTAAGTCTCTGCTCCACCATCCACACAACTGTGGGTCGATTTGCCACACTTCCTGGAGCCTCAGTTTTCCTCACCTGTGAGAGAATAAGACGCGCACCTTAGAAGAGTTATGTGTGAAAACCATATGCCATGACGAGGACGCGAGTCATTCAACTTTTCTGAGCTTCAGCTGTTTATCTCTAACACAATACCTGTCTCAGGCTCGTGAGAAACCTAGCACGGGCCGCGGAGCACAGTAGGTACCTAGGAAAAGCTTGCTGCCCTCTCCTCCTGCCCTGAGTCTTGCGTCCGGCTCCTCTTCTACCCTCCTGCTGTGTGCAATACAATTCAATTCAGTAAACATGCACTGAATGCCTGCTAAGTGCCAGGCCCTGGGGTACGAAGACCACTCAGACCCCGTGTCAGCTGGCGGGGCCGGGGGGAAGTCCCTGCAGACCCCATCCAAGCCTCATGGCAGGAGATGGGCTACTTTGCAGCCCAGAGGGTCTCTGGCTCAGCAGATACTCCCTGGTCACTGTGTCTGGGGCAGTCAGAGCCGGAGGAAGGGTCTCACTGAGGTCCTGTCTTCAAGGAACACATTCTCAGAAATGTTTCTTTTTTTTTTTTTAATGATTTTTTTTTTTTAAGGTTTATTTATTTTTGAGACAGAGGGAGACAGAGCATGAACGGGGGAGGGTCAGAGAGAGGGTGACACAGAATCTGAAACAGGCTCCAGGCTCTGAGCAGTCAGCACAGAGCCCGACGCGGGGCTCGAACTCACGGACCGTGAGATCGTGACCTGAGCCAAAGTCGGCCGCTAAACCGACTGAGCCACCCAGGTGCCCCTCTCAGAAATGTTTCAACAGCAAAACGAGGCCGCTCAGATGTATCCCCCAGGAGTGGTGGGAGCGACTATGGACAGAGGCGTGGGGGGTACCAGGTCGGGAGTCAGAGCCTGGGTCTGACCCCCACAGTTTGGGCCTCAATTCCCTCTGCCACAAGATGAGCGTTGAAGTAAACGAGAGTGACAGCAACCACTGCCAGGAGTGCTTCCTGCGTGCCAGACTCTGCAGAGATAGTTGGTTAGCGGTTCGTGTAGTCCTCATAACAGGGCCTTGACATGGATACTGTCACCATCAGCATTTGTTGGACTAGGAAAATGAGGCACAGAGAGTTTACATTACTTCTCTAAGCAACTGTCCCAGCTGGGATTCACTAGACAGAGCAGAACCCAAAGTCTGAGCCCCTAACCACCGTGCTACACTGTCTGTCTGGAGCCTGGTAACACGCTAGAATGCTGTCTACTGGAACTTTCTTTCTATAATCCGGGTTGTCCATCACAGTAGTCTCTGCCACAGGATGCTATTGATCGCTTGAAATGTGCTCGTGCAAATGAAGCCCTGGATTTTTAACTGTAGTTAGTTTTAATTAACTTAAATGTGAATAGCCACCGGTGACTAGTGGCTACGGTGTTGGACAACGCAGCCGTCAAATTCTGAGGGAGAGGCCAGAATGGCCAGACTCCACGTGGAGGGGTGGGACTCTGAAGGAGGAGGCTTCCTGAGAAAGAATGGAGTCCTGCAGTTCCCAGTCTCCCCACTCCCGTTGCTTCCACCCCCCACCCTCCCTTGTCCTTCCCAGCCCTGAAGATCCACTTGTCTTCTGAGACCAAGGCTGTCCTGGAAGAGTTTGGTGGTTTCGAGCTGGAGCTTCGAGGGGACGTAGAAATGAAGGTAGAGAGGAAAGCCCCTACCCTCACCATCCCTTGTGGACCAGAGGGTGCCTCCCCAGACCCCTTCTCAAGCCCACTCCCATCCCGAAGCCTTTCCTCTGATTTGGGGAAGTGGGTCAGTGCGCTGCTCCCTACGCCAGCCTCCTCTTCTCTCTCCCTCCAGGGCAAAGGCAAAGTGCGGACCTACTGGCTCCTAGGGGAGCGGGGCGGTAGCACTCGAGGCTGACCTGCCCCCCCTCACCTTGGCCTTCTACACCCCCTTCCCTGCGCCAGAGGCAACAGAGAGGTTCCAGGTCCTGGCCTCACTCACAGCAGCCCCACCACTGCCAAAAGGATCGGAGAAGTAGTTTGAACAACCCAAACGTGCTAACCCCAGTGGAGACACCAGATGTGACCTCTGGTGGAGGACTGGTGTTGGGGAGGACTCAGAGTTCGTGGGACTGGACCAAAGCACACAGTCATATCCAGTGGCACATGCGGACAAGTGTACCCACTCTCCACCCGGACTCAAGCCAGGCTAGGGTGTGGACTCCACTTTGAGACACTGTGACTTCTATGGGGAGGGGGAAGAGCCACTTTAGAGGTAACAGGAAAGGGGACTACAGGTGAATCTAGGGGGTGAGGGGAGTCCACGTCTAGGCCCAACCCACATGGGCCACAAGCACCCCCCCATGCCCCCCCCAGCACTGAATACAGTGCACGGGGGAAGGGCAGCCCTGTATGCCTTGTTTCTCCTGTGAGCAGAGACCATGAACATCTTTATTCCAGTGAATGTCTCTGGAAGGACAGCGGGTGGCCAGAAAACACAGCCGTGCTCCCTGCCCTCTGTTCCACATAAGATGCTTCCTGAGCTGGGGAGTGCAGTGTCTGAAATCAGCTTCAGTTTCCTCAGCCAGGATCTACGTGACAGCCTGTGAATTACCCCAGCAGTGCTG